CAGTGTTTAATATGATTTACAAAGAAGTAAAGTAAGCTTCTTTGAGTTTCATGATTCTGCTTAAGATATAGGAAATGTTTAAACATATCTGATTTTGTTTGGTCAAGATATAGATTATATCTTGTTAGTCGTTAACTATAACCAACACGCCTCTTTTTTATCAAAACAAAGCTATGCACATAGCCAGGTATGCTTTGCAATTTCTACACCTCCCTCCTCTATTGTGAAACAACTTGGCTGAATCCACCTCAGTACAAATTAAATTTAAAACAACATTAGTGTGCAAAAGGTATATAATCACTGTTTTACTTGGTACAGGTAGTGAAGAGCAGGGTGATACAAAAGAGTCATATACAATTGTGCGTCAAGTTTTGTCACTCACAAAGATGAAAAAGCTGCAATGTTAAAATTATTCGCTATCATGTGTTCTGATGTTTTCTTCTGATGATTGGTTGTATGAATCGACATTGTATCATCATAAATATAAGAGAAAATTGTAATTTGTAGGAGAATATTTATAATTTCTTGTAATTCCCACAGTATATGTTTCTCAAGACAAATTATGTGAAGTGCCTTGTGCTGTTGTGTCTATACGTAACATTTACTAAACACAACAGCTTGTGCTCCATCTTTGTGCAGTGGTGCCCTCACCTCATGGCTGCTTCGTAGAAAGATTCCACAGATATCCCTTTAGCATAACCCCATGCGAAGCTAGAGCTAAAAATGTTGGTTGCTAATAATATCAAAATAAGTTAGAGTAATTTTCAAGCAGAGTGCACATGGCTTCGAAAATTTGGTTGAAATATACAAAACAATAGTGCACCTAAATTTTTAGAAGCTATTTTAGTTGCAAAATAATTAGATCGTTTACATTAGACTATTTTATGAAATTTTCAAGTAGGAGAAAAAATTGTTTACCATATGATAGAACATGAAATATTTTGTGTATATTACTGCAAACAACCTTATATATTAAATAACATAATACTCATGGAGGTGTTATTACATTGCGCCTACTTATTTTGGTTATTTATTAATCAATTAAGGGCTTCATATCCCTTTTAAATAGTGGGGCAAAAAATTTACAAAGCTAAGATAAAAAGGTTTCAAGTACATTTTTGAATGCTTGATGCAGAAAAGTCTTCAATCTAAGTTGCAGAAAACTTCAGGGTAAAATCAGCGTGTAACTCATCAACACTGTATGAGGGAATATTTGTTTTGTCCACAAAAAAGGTAATGTAAAATAACTCATTCCTTTACATGAAACACAACTTCATGTTAATGATTTCAGTGAGAGTAAATGTATCATTGAAAACCCCAGCACCCCAAAAGTCCACCCATAGTTAGTTAAGGATTTAATGATCATAGACTTTTAAATTTAAATTTTATCAGGGATATTACTTAATTCAGTGCAATGAAATTTAAACACATTTTTAATTTGCATTTAGTTTTTTTGTCTTTTATTGGATATCTTTAGAGATTACCTAGAGGAGTAAATATTAGATTTTCATTTACTATAATGTAAAAGAAAGCAAGTATTACTGTAAAAAAATATAAAAGCTATCAAGAGGAAGAAAAATACCATAACCCTAAAGAAAAGAGGATTACCTTTTTTTAAGTATGTAACTTTATTTAAATTTACAAGCAAACCCATAAAAGGTTTGATCTGGTAAAACTGTACGAAATAATCACTACTACTTTGTACTGGCCCAAGACATTTATCAGACTATAACAGCAAAAAGTAATTTAGAACCAAGATAGTAAAATAATAATGCATTTCATTTCCCTCTAAAGAATAATATCCATAAAAAACCTGATGTTGTCAACAATTAATTACGTAATAATAATAATGTTATGCATTCTCAGATGATTCTACATTTTACCAGGTAAAAATTAAAAGTTTACCCTAACCCAAACTTTTATTTTTATACAGTGAAAACTATGAAACCAGGTATAATATTCACTTACTAAAAATCTTATAGGCACATAATATGGACAAACTATACATTTATCTTAGTGTTATCTTTTATTTTAAATTATGGATTTTTTATGTCATCAGTTTTTAAATTGATGAATGAGTGGAAAATAATCCATGATCAATGAAGCTGGGTGCAAACTCATTATCTAGTTATCTTAAAATACTTGTAATTCTCAAAATGAAAGCTACAATAATGCACTATATTATAAATAACCTCAGGCAACAAGAGAGTAAGACAAGTGAATCGGGGACATGCAGAACACATGCAATAAGAATGTTGGTACTCAAGACAAGTACTGAACATAGTTTATTCTGGGAGTATACTATGATAAGAGTACTTTACTATCTCAAAATGCATCTAAGTTAATTAATTGCAGACTTAGTTCCCGACCACCACGAAGAATTGTAAAAAATAAGAGTTACATGTTTAGAAAGACACTTTTCCTAAATGCATAATTAGATACATAAAATTATTTCAAACTTTTCCATCAAATACTTCTACTGAAGTTCACTTCACTGAAGTTTTTAACTTCATTACTTTCTTCTAAAATTAGTCATATTAGGAAAGCCTTTTTCAACTTATTACAGCTTAAGAAATAGTTAACTTTGATAGAGTACCAATAAACTTGTCAAGGTGTAAGGTGGTTGGACGGGGATCAAAAAGTGCAATAGTGATAGTACAAACCTGGGTACAGGGGTATTATCTTCTAGGACCTCCGTGCTGAGTAAACCATTTAGTATTAGAATCACAAGGTAGAATTTCCGAAACAATATAATAGTACAGTTGGCTGTCGATAATCCGGCATTCACGGAACTAGAGAGGTGTTAGATTACCGAAAAACATCAACTAAAGTAATTAAAAACTATATTTATACTGAACTGACCTGTAAATTAAGAAAAGCCAATTTATGATGCTTCATTGTTAACTCTTTGACTATTAAGGGTTGAAATTTGTCAAATGAGGTATTATTTTGCCAAAAGTGATGTTTTTAGAGTACAAAACATGATTCTATCTAGTTTCATTGTGTTTAATTAAAGTGCAGCTCTAAGGCCTACATTCTATTAGGTCTTCCTGTTTTGCATAAGTTTGTTTGCATAGTTGTTAAAAGTCTGTAATTGTTTTTAGTTTTTTACCTCAATTTATATATTTCAGCATTTTCCTAAATAGCTTTCAACATCAAAATTCAGTTGTATTCAAACTTTGTTTTTCACAACAGCTAAACAGTGTTTTCTGGATTGTGAACTGGACTCAACCCACGCTAGGAAAGATGCAAGACTCCTTTCACAAATCAAAACCCAGAACTGTACTGAGATCGGACGACTACCGGTACTCATTTAGCGCAGTGTCTGATTATTTTGTGTGTCGGCTTATCAAATGACAAATTATCGATCGCCAACGGTAATACCTAACCCATAAATAGAATAACAATGTAAAGACATTTGAAACGGATGAGTAATGATTAAAATGTATGTGGTTTATCAACTATGTTAAAAACACATGTTTAGGATAAGACGATTCTGTTTTTTATGAATTAAACACTTGTATATTCCCCTAGGATGTATTGTGACACACAATTTACTTGGTGGAAAAACAAGTATGTTTCAAAGTAAAATATTTGAACTTGATCAATGAAGTTATAAGTCAATCAATGTCATTGTCACAAAACTTGAAAAGGAAAAATAAAGCATCATTCTTTGGAAAATTTCTCAAAAATATTGAATATAATTTGGCTTTATGTCATTGCACATTTATATTTTTCATAAAAATAAAAGTAATACTCAATGTTTCCATTCTTAAAATAAATAGGACTACTGATATATTGTTATTGTTGCTGACTAACACTGAAAAATACAATTACTAAACACAATGAAAATGATTTTAACACTGGTTTATTATTGGTGTATTTAATGTAAGTGTTTTTATTTAGTTCAATGAATTTAAAAAACAAAACTCTAGCTATTTAAGGAACTTTAATTAGAAACGTTTCTGATTATGGAGTAATCAGAGTCATATTATAGAGTAAAGCATTAGTTTCTGTAGTTTCAATAAAGTTGTGCGAACATGCAGGTTCACGGAACACTGTGCACAAGTCAAGCTTCATACAGTTCTTCACTTTTTTCACTGAACAAAGGTGCATAGGGAGACACAAATTGGACAGTAACATATGTATACATATCAAATAATCTGCTGTCAAGGGAAACATGAAGTGATTAAGATAAATTAAGACTATGAATCAATTAGGATTTCTGACCCTTTCAGCTCAAATATTGTGCGGGAATAATTTAATACACTTTTTGGGAGTGTTAAGTTAAACCAGAAATGACCGCTGTCTAAAACCAGATTTTTTTTTGTTTTTGTAAAATGGTTTTTATAGAGGGCATATGAAATCGTCAAATGAAGAATACTATCAACCTTTAAATGACTTAAACATTATTTTAAATAGTTTAACTTAATCTTTGATCATAAATAGCATACTTGAAAGCTATACAAGAAGAAATATTATTTATTATTTAGTTAAAAAGGTGTGCGGTTGAAGTAGAACAACTAATTTGGGATCTTAGACTAGTTTAAATGGACCTGATAACCTTACTTGTCTCAACACTAATTTCAAAAAACAATTAAAAACTACTGTGGTAAAAGTTACTTTTTGATTAACCACACACCTCTCAAGATAGAAATTTTGAATGGGAATCAACTTGAAGAAACGAGAGACAAATATAATGCTTCTCCGGTCTAGGTCTGTATTTGTCTGGGCATGCTAGGTCAGTGAGGCCAATAACAATACACATACTACACACGTAATATTCAAACAGAGGATTTGCCTTTCTCGGCACACACATAATGTTGGCCCTGGGTGTGCATGGATACGTCTTTTCTCTTTGCCTGTACTTGTTTGAACACAAATGTCACATTTGGGAATTAAAATACTCATTTAAATTCTCAACTTTCATCTGTTGAGGAAATTTAACCAAGAATCAAAGTTAAAAGTAATAAGTCACAATTAAATGCAAATTGAAATACCTGTTTCCGTGAACATGACTAGCACAAAAGGCAAAACTGTAGTGAATGAGAGTTGGGTCAATCATGATGTTTTTCTCAGCACGGTCCAGCAGATCGTTGAGGTAGCAGAGATGACGGTAGCAGCCACGGACACCGTAGCGAGCACAGTACTCGTCCAGTACAAACACTTGCCCTGGGCTGAACCAACCCTAAAATTCCAACAGTATGACATGACAATACAGAGCAAACAAAACATTTGTTAACAGGGTTAACAGGGACAATAGTTTTACTGGAAGTTCTACAGTTTTGGTTTGTATTTTGGCACCTAGTTCATTAATATGTTACTCCTATAGTGCTACGATCACCAACTTAAATAGACAAAGTTCCATTTTGGACAATTTCAAACATTTATAGCTCTTAAATGTATTACTTTGACAACTCGTACTCGTAACAACTGCACAAAACATTTTATGATGTTAAGATAGAATATTAAAAATCTCATATAAAATCACGTCCCCATAGCACATAGTAAAGCTATTTTTTAATTTTTAAACTCTTTTCTTCCAAATAGCCTAGTAATTTAGCTCAGAATTTTTTTAACTCATAATTTCTAACAACTTGAGTCTACGCACAGACCACTGAGGTCTATGTAGATTCATTTCCAAGTACTGTAATCAATTATTTCCAGCCAAAGAAAATATATTTAAATTAGTACTTAAGTTTATACAATTAATAACTTTTTAAATTTAAATTTACCTTAATTTTTCATAAACAATTTATATAATGCTTCTAAATCTGTGTATTTTATTTTTTTTTTAATTGTTATTTTGTGTACTTATTGTGGAAATAAATCTGATTTGATTTGATTTTCATTCCAAACTTAAATTCTAATTTCATCACTTACCAAAGAGCAATAAGGATCATTCAATCGGTAATCAAGAGTAAGTGTCTGTAGCATTTTAAACAATGAGGCGTGTTCAAATTTACATGGGTCTGCAGAGATGAACTCTTCCATTCCATGTTTCCGGGCTCTGTCAGCATCTGTAATCAATTGGCTTTATGGTATAACTAATCTTCTAGACTCAATACACTCAACCGTGACAGAACATAAAACTCATAAAAGCAATATATATCTTGGTGGGAATCTATGTCACACAGTAGACTCCTTCTTATCCGGACTCCTCGGGACCGAGGCCAGTCTGGATAACAGTTTTTCTGGTTAAGCCGATGTCCCCAAGAACTCGTTAAAACAGACCGTTTACGGTGATATTCAACTTAAATTTAAGAGAGTATTGTATTTAGACATGTGATCACTGGTCTCAAATCTTTCCCACGAGAACAGTCGTTTCAGTACCGCCCACTTCCTGCCGATCTAGTCCGGTTAAACCAATGTGCTGATAAAAATTGTCCGGTTAAAGAGATGTCATTTCCGTCGAGTGTAGTCCGGTTAAACCGATGTCAGCTTAAAAGGTGTCCGGATAAGAGGGAGTCTACTGTAGATATATAATGTCATGTAATAAACAACCAATAACAGATCTAATCCCAGAGCTCTTATCTCATCTCAACTCAAAAAAGCACAATAGACTCCCCACTTCAGTCAAAAATCTGGACAGTCAACAGTTTAGTTAAGTTATAACATATCAGATTATCTAAATACTTTATGGAAGCATGGTGAAAGGAAAATACATAGGTCTGCTATTCCCGTCATATTCTGACGTCACTCGGATTGCAAACAAAAAACAAAAGATCACCTGATTGTAAGTGTCAAATTAGTATATGTATTTGTTTTGATTTGGTTGTTATTGTTTTTATAATGTGTGTTTTTATAAAAAACAATAACAATCAATCTTCCACCATGTTATGGAAGATTACTCTGTCGCTTCAATTTTCATACTTTTGGAATCTATATTAAGATTACTAATGTTTGGCTTAATCAGTGGAAAGGATCATCTTAAATAAATGGTTTCCGGCTTGGGTGAAAGTTACAAGCATTATTAAAGGGGTTGCACACAGCACCTGTTTTGGCTTTTATTCTAGTAAAATATAACAGGGTGTCTTGAAACATAATATGAACAAACTTTGTCACGTTATTCAGCATGTCAAAAGAAACAAAAAATGTAATTTAACATGTGTCCTATCTCATTCCGTTTTCGGTCCATCTGTCTGTATGTGATTTAAAAAAAAAAAAACATTCATAACTCCTTAAATGCTTGAGCTACAACAGTGTTGCAATTCTGTAAAAATGTTTATCTTATTGACCACTATGTTTGTGCAAAATATGAATAAACACTCTTGAACCATTTAAAATGACGGGTTTATTTGCAAGGGATGTAAAATCTAGTAAATTTAATGCAGATTACAAGGATATCTGATAAGCTTGGAATTAATATCTTATAAGTTTGGACAAAGAATAACTGAGAAATAATTTTTTTTCCATACCTTCAGTTTTCTCCATTTAAACAATGTTAAAAACCAGTTTTATGAATTTAACATTGTATATTCAGTATATGGTGTTGAAATACATTATGCCATAAATTTTCGCATCAATTGGTTTAAAGATTACAAATAGTGAAGTGATGTTGGTACCAAATATTTATCGATTCTTGATACTGATACATATACTTGAAAAATAGATTCTCAATTCTCGAAAGAAACCAATCAGAATTTTTTTTATTTTACCAAATTTTTCGTATTGGTTGCACCAACCCTTGTCTATATGTAATTTTTCTATAAAGTAATTTTTGGGTAAAGGGGTGTTTTTTAAGTAAAGAAAAAATTAATGCAGCATTGACAATTTCTTATTAGCCAGTTTGAGTTTAACCGCCTAAACTCATAAAATAAATACGAGGCAGATTTACCGAATAGGCACGTACCTAGGGCGGGAGGCTATGGCCTTTTTGGGGGAGTGCCAAAAAGTTGGAAAATAAAAACAATTTGGTGGTTGTATTTGCATGCGATCACGGTAAACTTATGATAATCTCTCGCGGCCGTGTAAACATTGTAATCTTCTCCCGCTATTACGGCAAAATGTTAATTATTTCCCTTAGTCGTTTTTGTCACAAATTTACTTAGCTATAAGCAATTTTGTATTTAGTTTATGACTCTATTCAAGTTCATGTAATGTGACACTATATCGAATTAATAATGTTTTGACTTTGACTTTGAATTTTGCCGTGATTGCGGAAAAATTCTGACTATTTCCCGCAGTTGTGAAGAGATCATCATCGTCAACCGCGAAGGAGGCAAAATTCTGATCTTTTCCCGCAGTTGTGTGGACATTATCATCGTCTTGCGCGATCGCGGAAAAATTCTTTTCATCTCTCGTGGCCATGAAGACATTTGTTTATCGTCTCCCGCGGTCGAGTGGACATAGTAATCGTCTCCCGCATGGTAACCATCTCCTGCGGTCGTGTGAATGAGGCAAAATTCTGATCTTTTCCCGTGGTCGTGTGAATATTATCATTATTTTGTGAGATAGTGGCATAATTCTGATCATCCCTCGCAGCCGTGTAGACATCATTATTGTATCTGCCGCGGTCCTGTAGACATCGTAATCGTCTCCCACAATTGCGGCAAAATGATAATCAAATCCGACAGGGGTGTATAGATCATCGTTGTTTTACGCGATCGCGGGAAAATTTTGATTATTTTCCGTGGTTGTACAGACATAATTATGGTAGAACACATCCTGCAGTTGTGAAGAGATTATCATTGTCTACCGGGAAGGAGGAAAAATTCTGACTTTTTCCCGTGGTCGTGTGGACATAATCATCGTCTACTGTGATTGCAGCAATATTCTGATCAACCGTCACGGCTCTGTAGATATCATCGTCTTGCGCGATTGCGGTAAAAACATGATCACATCTTGTAGTCATGCAGATATTATCATCGTCTTCTGCAATTGCGGTAAAACTCTGATCATCCCTTGTGGCCGAATGTAGACATATTATTGTCTCCCGCAATCACGGATTAGTCACTATTGTCATGTGCAATCGCCGTAAATTGAAAATTTGTGCGATCGCCGTGAATTGAAAATTTGTGCGATCGCCGTAAGTAAATTGAAAATTCCAGGTAGAAATAAAAAATTCACGCATCATTTCCGGTTTAAATAACTCATGCGTAGTTCCCGGATTTACCGGTATTCCCGGTCGGTGGACACCCTGTTGTATATGTATATATATATTAAATTATTGTAGTAAATAAGTACAACTGAGCACCCTGAATATTATATTTTTAATAGAAGTGACATGTTTCGGACACAAGTCCATTTTCAAACTTCAAATATATATATATATATATTGAAAAGGGGCGCTACTATTAATTTTGCCTATGGTGCTGACTGGGTAAAAAACCAGCCTGAATAAATACCACAAAAAAGGTAAATTAAGATATTAAGAAATAATAATAATTATTATAACTAGACGTGCCAGCCAGAGATTTTTTATCAAGCAAAACTCAATATCATATTGCGATCATTTCCTACAGTTGTGGTGACATCATCATCATCTTCTTCGAACACGGTAAAATTCTAATCATCTGCCTTGCCCATGTAGACATCATAATCTTCTTCCGCGATCATTGCAAAATTCTGAATACCTCTTGCGGTAACAGAAACATCATCGTCTTCTGATATCGCGGCAAGATTATGAACATATTCATAGGTCGTGTGGACATTATCATCTTCCGTGACCACAGCAAAATTCTGAACATCTCCCGCCGACTGTCTAGACAATATTATCATCTCTCGTGGTCGTGCAGACCTCATTGATGCTCAAAAGTCAAAATTGAACATAAATTCATGATATAAAGATGATGATGGTGGTTATTTAGTCTACTGATACTGACCTCCCTGTATCTTGGATATAGTTGAGTTTTTGCCAGCAGTGGTGACCAGAGGTGTAGGTTTGTGTGACTGTCCAGTTGCCCGATACATAGCCATTACCCACAGGTGACACTCGTTCTCATCATCACACGCGTAGAGGATACTGTCACCTTCCTTGACAGCATTGAAAAAATAACGGCCTCCCTCCAAATCTACAAATCATTAGGATAATCAAATAAAATATAATGAATGTTCAACCATCAAAACATCACTAAGTATGTGTCGAATTACTCTGATTCATCCAAATTCATTTTATTATGAGTGTACTAGCCTTGACAGTCTATTGGTTATGACACTGTGTTGCGTGTGCGAATGGGGGATTCTCATAAAACAATTTTCAAAACATTTGCTGTCACAGCCAATTCGTGGCAGGTTGGCCATATATGGTGGTTTTTACATATAAAATTATGACTGACATAAGACTTCTGAAATTCTGAACCTTATAATAATAAAACTGATACACCATGGCCTAACTAATAAAAAAAGAAATAGTAGGGGGGGCCTTGTTACTGAATGAATACTCACCCATTCCGACCATTAAGTTGGCTGAAAAATAAACAAGTTGTTATAATTTATGATGATGTAAGAAATCTACCTGTCTAGACATTTGTAGATTTAAACTCATTACAAAATTATAAGTTAATAAATTCAAAACACTTGCATTACCTTTAGCTTTGGTTTTATTCAGGCCCAATACACTTACTATTGTAACAGGAAAATAGTAAAATGACAATGGGTAATAATAATTAATTGTATGAATAATAATAACAGAAAAAATGTTATTGTTAAAATAGTAGAGTTAAAAAAAAATGGTATAGCATTAGTATCTTAGTTTCAGTAAAATATTTTGTGGATTTTTTAGTTTGATTGAAAACAGAATTATGTAAGATTTTTTTTAAGAAAATAGCATAATTCTTATCAGATTTTCCCTTAGTTGATTTAGGGAGAAATGTGTTAGGTGATAGTGAAATTTCAGTGGTTAGAGAACCCACTGAGGTTGTTTCAGGGGTTTAGTTCTTTTAAACCTTGGTCAAGATAAGAGTTTTGGTAGGTCTCCGTAACATCACAGAACAGAACTTGAGTATTGGGTGATTAGGGACCTGTCACAGAATTTGGTGGAGTAGGTAGCGTTTTAGTATTATGAGGTGTTGATGTAGTTTTTGGTGTTGTGATCGCCATATCGTCATGTTTGATGCAATTGGGTAGGCTAATTGCTCAAATTATCGATCGTTAGGCTAGGACAGTTTATAGAGTAAGGGTGAAAAATGCTTTGAGCAATCCAGAGGATAAGGCATTCAAAAAGTATTCAAATTTTTTAATTGCTATATGTTTTTCAATGTCAAAATGAGTAAATATCAATAGAATTTATAGTAAAAATTATCTGTGGTTCTAAGTTAAAATTAAAATTTTAAGTTCCCTACCACTTGCAGCTTCTATGTAGTCAACAGTGTAGCCATCAAGCTGCATCATCTCTGAAGGTTCCGACTTCTTCTCCTTGTACGTACACATTGCAAAGGTATATTGGGAAACTTGAACCAAAACAAAGTATCTCTTCTTCCACTTTTTCCAAACAGCCTTTCCAAGACCATACAAGTACCTGTAATTCAAATTGTAAATACAATTTTGAACTCACGTATGAAAGTGTAAACAATGAAATATTGTTATTACTTCATCAACTTTGATAATTTATTCCAGGATATGTCTGACAAACATACTTATTATTACTGAATTACAGCTAATTATTATACGGCAATACACAACTTTAATTAATGCTAAAACCTGAAACTCATAGGTAATCAAGTTAAAAATATTTATCAATGTGTGTGTAGTGAGATTTAATAAATTTAAAGTAAATGTATTAATATTAAATTTATTTATAGTGTAGTATAGTGTAAATTAAATAAAATTATTTTTCCTACAGTTATCTAACAATGTACATGTTCTCTCACTGATTAGAGAAAGCAAAGTGGCCAATTCGCTCATCAGTGAGACAATGTTCTAATTACTTTGTCTCACTCCAGATTTGCAACGTGAAGGCACGAAATAGTGAGCGCGTAACATGCAGGCAACGTCGTATGCGTGCGAAATACGTTGGCAGCACTGGCTGTAAATCAGGTGGTCAGCTGTTGTACTGTTGTATTTGTCACTTCACATTAAATGTTATATTAAAAGTTCACTTCTGTGTAAAAATAGGTTATGTTTCTTCACAAATTTATTTGTTTTATGGTAACTGTAGGAAAAGTATAATGTGCAACTCGAGTTCAAAGTACAATTGCCTCACTCGAGAAACCATTCCTCACTCGCCTACGGCTCGTGAGTAAGGATTTCTCTCGAGTGAGTCAATTGCTCACTTTTCTCACTAGTTGCACAAATAACTATAAAACATCTGTCAGCTGATAGATCTGTCAGCTCACTACATGAAATTTCATGTATTTATAATAACATACAGTTACTACAGTTACTACTATAAAGCATATACATAATTAGTCTTCCAAACACTAAACAACTCGTCTTGGGTTAGGTTAAATCCAAGCGTTGAATGAAAATAGAATGTTAACACAAAAAAAACAGGTAGTATCAAAACTAAAAGGCTGTGAAACGCTGCATCAGCTGTTTGCAGTCGTAGAATTTTTAAGTGTTGCCAACTTATTTTAAAGCTTACTTGTATTATGTGCCTCATAAAAGCACACTGTTTTGTGTTGTTTGGTTGGAATCCTGAAGTGCGGCAAAGTAAAACGAGTGCGAAAAAAGTAAGTAAATGCAGCAATTTAGCAACTTTGCGTGCTATAGTCAGTGCAAGGAAGCCTGCTTTGTCAGGCAACTGTAGGACAATGTATTTTTCCTACAGTTACCTAACAATGTACATGTTCTCTCACTGATTTGAGAAAGCAAAGTGGCCAATTCGCTCATCAGTGAGACAATGTTAACATTGTCTCACTCTAATTACCTTGTCTCACTCACTCCACATTTGCAACGTTAAGGCATGAAATAGTGAGCGCGTAACATGCAGACAAGGTTGTATGCGCGCGAAATACGTTGGCAGCACTTAAATAACTAAATTAGCACTAAATTAGCTGGTCAGCTGTTGTACTGTTGTATCATTATCATTGTCATATTAAAAGTTCACTTCTGTGTAAAAATATGTTACGTTTCTTTACCAATTTATTTTTTTTATGGTAACTGTAGGAAAAATATAATGTGCAACTCGAGTGCAAAGTGCAATTGCCTCACTCGAGAAACCATTCCCCACTCGCCTACGGCTCGTGGGTAAGTATTTCTATCGAGTGAGTCAATTCTTCACTTTGCTCACTAGTTGCACAAATAACTATTAACGCCTTCAAATAAATTTAACGGAGAAGTTCTATCTGCTAGATTATGTTACAGGCATTTTAGACCTCTGCAATAGTCAGCATATTTGAAAATATATTATTCATATACACATAAAATTTAAGCAATCAATCGAGACTTGCATACCAATGTCGATAGTTGATTCAGTTTTCTAGAAGGCTCTGCTAAACTAATAGTTACTGAAATAGTTGCTAAATGTACAAGACCTATGATCAACTTACCCACAATGTTTCATATTCAGAGGTTTATCCATTCTACAAGCAATCTTTATCCTTAAATCTTGATCTGGACAGTTCTTAGGTACATTCATTTTGTGCCATTCAGGGCTCTAGAACAGGGTTTAGTTGTTGAACTATTAGTCTTCAACTATTATTCAATATACATACATACACATATTATTATATTAATATACAAAAGTTATTAGTTTGTGTAAGTGAATAAGATATTAATTAGCAATGTGTGCACATTTGTTTTGTACATCAAATCAAAATATCATTTATTTTGCATATAAATCTACATAATACAGAATTTTAACTCAGTACAAAAATATTTACAATATTATTTAGTTCTATAAGCCATTTAACAATTTTCAGTAAAAAGCTTTTTAAATTCAACTATGCAAAATTATCTCCCACAAAGGAGAATTTACTCCTGTGCGTGTAAGAGAGTCATTATAATTATAAAGTTTTTAAAATATTTATTAAGAGATGAAAAAAGGATTTTTAAATGTTTGAAAGTTAAGCTGGAGAACTGACTGAGTGCTTGGTGGCTGACAACTGGACAAACGGTAGACCCATCCCAACCTCCTTCTCCAAAATATAACCAACTTACTTTCCAATACGCATACACACTCACAAAGGCACATACACACTGCTGTCCTCATTCTAACACCAGCGATCAGCTGGTAGCCATAATACATGGATTATGAGCTTGGAAGGTAAGAAGTGTGTTTGGTAAGGAATGATTTAATTAATACTAGTTTTCTTCTGATTAAGTGAATTTATATGTTAACAAAGTTCGATTCAGCAGGACTTTACTGCACAAAAGGAAAATCTGGTTGGAAAAAATAGATTGAAAAATAGATCTCTGATACCTTGGATGATAGAGGAGTAGGTTTAAGAATAACCTTCCCTAGCCACTTATCTTCCAGAGCCAACATTCCAGGGTTCTCTGTGAACAGTTTGACCTTGACAGCAGGTAAGGGATGGGTTGTGGTGAAGTCACCCTGAGTGTCCCACCTGTAAAACATCAACATCAACACATCGTCTGGACGGTAACAATCTACAGTAGTAAAACATAACATTAACATTAGTACATCTACGTACTAATAAGGTAACCTTGAGATGAAAAAAGCCATACTATAAAAGATGTATATGTCAGTGGTAGGCTTACGAAATTCCATATCTCACAGTAAAAAAATTGCTGGACGATTGCGGTTTTGCAAACTTGGATGTCTGTACTGGGTAAGTTAGTTGCTTGCATTGAGGAAGATTTTGCTATCATATAGTCAATGATAACAGTCAACTAAGGCTCCTCACACACTGCGTCCGGTCCGGTGAAATCGGATCAGGCATGCCGGATCAGGTAAATTCGAAAACCATTAATTCAAATGGAAGAGCCCACACTGGATCAGGTCCGGTGCGTCAGGTGCTCTCCGGTAAAATAATTTTGGTCGAGAAGCGATAGGCTTCAGGCAAGCTTCCGGCGCCGGAGAGCTTGCGCATGCGCAGACGACTTGTACTCACCACGTGACAGTGACTGACAGTAGCAGCAGACGTGGTTTTGTGGTGATTGTTTATACGCTGTAAGTTTTGTTACAAAATGTCATTAGAAGAGAAATTGATTGTGCAAGTGCAGGAGTACCCTGTGCTATACGACCTGGGCCACAAGGGCTACTACAACTTAGTTATTAAGGAAAATATTTGGGAAGAAATAAGTGATCAATTAAATACTACTAACCCTACTATGATATCTTCGTCACTGTCACTGTCACTCATTGTTAAAATTAAATTTTGTTATAACTAACTAGTTGTTGATTAAACACTTCTTCAACTGACAGTATCCGCTGTCCTCGCAGACTGGTCGCCAGAACTGGAACGCCTGATGCAGTGTGTGGAAGTTTGCCGCATCCGGCGAAAAACACCGGATCAGAATAAACCGGACCGGAGGCAGTGTGTGACGAGCCTAATATTCCAAACTATTTACACTTACATGGGTTTGGAAGCTTCAGCTTGGTCAGTTTGAAGTTTTTCTCCTCCCTCCACTTCCATTGTGCAGTAGACTATCCGGTTAGGGGCTAAGGATTTTAAACCTTTTACTTCCATCACAACCACCTGAAATTTAAATAAACAAAAAGCTGTCAATGAATCTTGGTATAATCCCTTTCCTTGTAAAATATTGAAATAAAGAAGTGCTTATTGAAATAATAAGTTACTAACAGGCTGAAACAGGCTATATAGTATGAGGGTGAATTTTTTAGTACTGTAAGGGCCGGTTTTGTGTGTAATTCCGTGGTTCGCTTGTATGCTGCAACGAAGCTCTTCACCACTTATTGGCGTCATTTGTGAACAGACACCATTTGCAGCTCTGTAGCTGTCATGAATGCTTCGCTGTGTGTTTTTAAATTTTTTTAAGCGAATCTCCCGCCATGTACGAGGTAAGGTCAGTGATAAGTTTTTTGATTGCAAGAAACATATACAATGCCGGCATTCATCGCCATAAGAGAAGTTTAAAGACAGAAAAATTCCATAAACTCAATCTCATCTTGTACCCAAAATGTTGTATGCCCATATTAATCTCAGTTTTAATTTGTTATCCTTTTTTTCGGTAACTCGGAATTTCTGCAACTTCGCACCGGCACCCTTCCGGCTCACATTACAAGTTTGTGGGACTTTCTGTATCATCCTCTGATAGTTCGGTAGGCTTTTGGAAGTGTAAAATTCATAACTTATATCTGTGTACATAATGCTGGAAAACAGCTGATATAAGGTGCTTCACTCTGTCTTGTCTTTTGTTGTTGTAAAGTCTTTTGTACTCAACCACGTGAAAAGTACTAACAATAATTCACATAACCAAACGTGATGATGTCCAATTGCTATGACGTAAACATGATGAACAAATAACTCAAATCTATATATGTATAAAACAAAGTCGTGTAACATCAAAGGTGGATGTGTAACTATTTTATACAACAGATAAATAATTTCTCTTTAGTGTCCTCTTTGTTGCAAAGCACAGCAACAGCAGCTAGTAAATAAATAAAAAATCCTTTATTTACAATTGAGTTTCATATTACATGGTTTTCTTACTCAAGTCAAAAACTAAACTAGCCTAATATTTACACATATAATATACAAAAATTACGATGGAAAACATCAACAATTTACATTTTACATTTGTATTTCTTTAATATGTCATGTTTTTCATCAAAATACAGTAACAAAAATGTCTGATCAAACAGCTTAAAACTAGGAAACCCACAGTTACCGTAAGTAATGTATTTACCTCAAGTTGAAACGTCAAGACAACATCAAGTTTGCTCAGTTGAGTATCATTATCTGCTGAGTCTCCCTCAAGCTTTGACAACGATCCTTGTGATCTAACAGAACAATACAAAATCAATACACATTTCAAGATGGTTTTAAACAAAATACTTCCTCAATGATTCATAGGTTTGAGTTATGATGTATTTTATTAAGTTAAGAACTTTCATTGGGTGTTTTGTCAGTAAAATAATTTTACTACAAAACTCATAATTTTATATACTTTTTATATTCAGCGAGGAGCTGAATCCTATATACAACATGTATCAAATTTGAACAAAACTGCATAAGTTATCACAGCAATTAATAAACATTATATGAGCATTCAAAGTATACTTCTTTCATTTGCTCGGAAGTTGTAAAGACAAAGGGATCTGGGCTTTGTTTTGGTCTCTTCAAAACACCCAATGCATTATTGACTAACCAAAAAAGTAATTCTCTACTTTAAAAATTCTGTTGTTTTTTACTAATAATTTAAAAGTACCCAAAAAATCACCATTAAGTATCACTAGTTTTAAATAAATATATTGTAACGTACTCGTAATAATTTGGAAAACAAACATACCAGTTTAGGAAATTATTATTATAAGGATAAACACTAAACGAAACCACCTATAACTATCATGGTTTACTTACTGTACAAGAAAATAATAGCCAAATATACACATATGAAAAAGGTATTCTCAATTAGTAGTTACAGCTTTATGTTAACGACAAATACTATAATTATAATTGTTATTTAATTACACTACCAAAAATCACAAATTAATTTTTTAAATAATATAAACACAACTTACATATACATAGTTTTACCAGGGTTAATTAACAAGATAAGTAGTCATTCCAAAACGTTTAACATTTATATATGTTTGGGAAATCTATAGTTAAATACCAATACCAAATACTACAAACCATAAAGAGCAGGAAGTATAGGTTAAAGAATTGTTTTTTGTTATGGTTCATCAGTCATACAATATAACTACAAACAGTAGAGTGTAATAAAACAATCATTACACAAAATATATGTTGTAAAACTAGGTTGGTTTAATTTATTCCAGATGAAGATTGTGGACTTACTTTCTGCAATTGCACACTTTCCTAACTCCATACATAACTAATATCCTCAAGAATTTTTTAAGTGCTTTAATTAAAAATGCTTTGCGATTCAGTACCTACTAAAAACACTTACATTTAATGGGTGTGGTTGGAATCAATTTTCATTTCATAGTCCTTATATTGCAAACTTAAGATTTACTTAAATAATTTTGTGTTAACTTTACAAGTAAGGATGACAAACTACGGACATTGAACATCAATGATCATTAATCAGCTTACGCTTAAGGCTTTCTACTACGGAAATCAGATTATTGGTTTACAGCAGACAGGAAACAAGCACTTTTCAAACCTTCAATGAATTAACTTCAAGAAACTTAGGGATGGTAAAACTCTAATCCTGATGACATGTGTAGGCAATCATAAAAGTAGTCATAACTTTTTGCTGATTCTGTCTGTATATAAAAAATAATGTTAAGTGTTTTTTTTTCAAACAGCATTTCTTGTAAAATATGTTTTAAATGTGTTCAAAAGCTTTTAAGTTTTAGTACGCAATTAGGAAGTGACTTTAAAAATTTGGCTTTTGCATGACAATGTACGACCTGACACGACAAATTGCATAAATGACCTCCACATTAATTCAAATTGGAGGTTTTTCTCTACAGTCAAAATTGGAACCACCCTACCGTCCAGGTAATGCTTCAAGCACTTATTCACCCAAAATGAAAACTTGGTTAGGAGTACAGCACTTAGATGACAATGAAGAGCTCCAGCTGTGGTTCCCCGATAAGCTGAGATCACAGGCGGGGAAATTATACGATGAAGAAATTATAAAGCTCTTTAACCGCTAAGATAAGCGCTCCAATTTGTTTGGCAGCTACGTACAATTAATTAATGTAGTATTTAGAAGTAAAATATTCAATTAGTTGTTTTATTAAAATGAATATAATACATTATTTCTAATACAATATTTTTATTTTATTCCAAAACGTTCCTACTTTCTGAATAGCCCTCCTATCTTTTTCCTACCATAACTTTTGACCACAGCTGAAAAAAGGCTGCATGAGTCTAAGTAAACTGGTCAACTATCCAGAACTGGAGCTTTTACACGCACTTTCCACTCTCATACCCTTCTTATGTGGGATATTATCAATAACAGGAATGCCACAACTCCCATTGTTGATAGTAAGTAAAGTATATATAGGCCAAATTATTGGAAAATCACATAAAATGAAAAGGGGTAGATGATCGGTCTTATGGTCGTAGAACAGAACCTTAAACTTTACAGCCTATAGTCCATGATTGCTGAGAAGCAATTTTCCTTGGAGGATTGGCTGGTCTATACAATAACACATTTGATTTAGATTTGTAGGACTTAATTGGCTGAGTGCATTTGATTTAGCTCTGCAAAGAGAGATCTATTGTTTTCCATTTGATTGAATTATAGCTTAGGTTATATTGACACGTCTACTTTGTACCTATCAACAAACCATGATAGGTTCCAGATCTGAAATCTGTCAGACCCTATTACATCTCTACCCCATTCTTCCCCACTTTTCTAATTCCCCCTCTTCATGAAAATGTTGTGCTTAGTATTAAAAGTAGTACAATAATGTGCAATATCGTTATTCTTTTGGAGAGAGGTATGTAAATACTGTTCCACCTACAAGTTGTTTGGGGGAGGGGTTGGAGGGGTTTGCGTTAACCCACAAGCTGAGCCCTGCATATTGGTATCCCATAATAACTTATTATATCATGAGCATGGCTTACTAAAAATACAATTCAATACAGCATACTGGTGAAAGTAAGAAATATCATCACTTTAGTTATAAAAAACCTATAGCATAAAATAAATGTCAGCAGATTTTCCACTCTCTAAATATGTTGCCTGTGCAGGGGCCCTATTTTTGAAATGGTTGACAGTTGAGTCAATCGTCAACACTCAACTCAACCAACAACAGGAATTGGTATTTTTGAAACCCAACAGTTGGGAAGTGAGTTGGGAATCACTAGTTGAGTGACTCGTTTTGGAAATGTAGGGCATACGACCACACGAAATTCAGATGGTCATTTTGAACCAATCACAATGCAGAGTTCTTGCGATCTTCTATTTAACCTCTTCTTACTCTAAAATCTGGATCAGCTAATCTTAATCTACCATATTTTGAGACACTGAGGTAAACTGTGAACTGTCCCCTCCGTTCTTGAGAGATTGAGGTTATGTCTTGCTTAATCTTAGTGATTGCAAAAGTACCTTATATAAACTTAAGTATTAAAAATAAAATTTACCATGGATGTTTGTTTTAGGGTGTAGCTCATTATAAGTTTAGGCATATCCTAAATAAATTATTATTTGCTTTCTTCGACTCTATTTCAGAACACATAACCTTATTTTAGTTTGCTTCATCGTTTTTGTTTCATGTTATTTTTAATTGTGTTTGTTTGTAGGTTAAAGCATTGACTTTATATCTACATGTGTAGATATAAAGTCAATGGTTAAAGCTTAAATGGATGTTTGCCATCGCACTGAACGCATACCGTAACTTAAATTAATTTTATCCCTTTATTAGGTGAATTATGGTATTGAAACAAACTAACTATGATATTGTTTCTCTTTACCACAATCTTTAATATATCTTAATAACAATTATCTTAAAATAAGTTCAATTAGTAGGCCTTGTCTATTTCAAAGTATTGCAAACATACCAACAAGGATAAAACCCTTGATTAAATCGTCTAGTATTGACACAGTAAATAAAATATAAATGCAATTTATTCTACAGAAAACAATCGCATAAAGTATTGGGTGCTAAGACATTGACAACAAATACATAACCTCTAAATCGCAATTAGTGAATTAAAGCAGTAACAATATGGCGTCGACTCAAAAAGAGCAATTTTTTGCCGAAAGAGGAAGAAGAAAGTGCTGTCAACCGTCTACTCAACAGCTCGATAGGTGGTGAGTAGTTATGGTTGGATTATGTCAAACGTCACTCGTTTGAAAAATACGAAACGATTGGAAATAGGGTGACTCAACACTCAACTCAACAGTTAACCATTTCAAAAATAGGGCCCCAGAAGTGATGCTGCATTTTTGCAAACCTGGCTCTGTCAACAGGAATCACACAATACCAAAGGTACAGTTTATACCCATAAGCGAGTGCTATAGTTCAAAATTATTTTTTATTCACCCTTTAAAATATTTACATTGAAAATATACAACAAGATTTTTCCCTTTTAGTTTATTACTTACATAAACAACTTAGCTACTGAAATATTACAAACAATAATACTACTGCAGATATTGACAAGAAACTGCTGGAAAAGTCAAAACTTCATACGATCTATAGTTAGAAAATTCTTATCTATACCAGGCCACTTAAAGCATGCTTTGTAGAGATGTTTTATAAGTTACAGGTTAAGGCCCAGTTTGTAGATTAAGTGTTAAAAAAAATAAATTGAGCAATTCTTTTTACCTCTAAGAAAGGTTTACCAGTGTGGGATTGTAGATAATGATGAAGACTTCACAAGAAATATTGTAACATAAACATGTAATGTAACAGAAAGCAGAAGTCTGAGCGTAGGAAGTAGAGTGTGTATAGCACATGAATGTAAACCTACCTTTATACATCTTACGGTTAAAGCGATTTGGAAGATCACAAGATATCAATGTTGCACTAATTTGTGATTGATACAACTGTAAAGCTCTAGCTAGATTATGTAAAATAATTGTGGAGTTATAAAAAGGAAATTTAAAGAAGGTGACAGCCTCATTTATTGTAAGGGTTACAAATGCTAAAACAGTTCAATCTACAAACACTACTTTACAAATCATTCACTTCACATGCACGAAAAACAACCATGCGGCTTTAGGGTGGAATTGAAAATTTCCCATAGGAAGTTAGGTGGTTGTTAGGTTTTAATGTTATGTTATATCTGCAGCTAGGGCAACAAAGAGTGTCTATGAACGTAAATTACAGCAAGGCTTGGTATAAGTTTTGGA